TATTTTCTATGAGTTTAAACTCTTAATTTTAGAAAAAACTTATCAACTTAATGACGTCACTTTCTTAATAGTGTTTAAAGAAGTAAACAGATTTTTTTTTCAATTCAATTAAAGTGAAATCAAGGAAAAGAAAATATTAAATGATTTTAGATTTTCAAGATATTTAATACTCTTATTTTTAAACTAATATTTTTTTATTTTTTCTTAAATTTTTATTTATTTATTAATATACGAATTAAGAACACTCATTAACAAAGGTTCATTATTCAAGGCGAAAAATTTAAATAATTGAAATCCATAAAAATATTAGTTAAGGAATATTCAATATATTTTATTAATTATTCCAAATTACTTAAGGGAAAAAATAGTAAGCACTTTTTAATTTTTTTAATAAACTAGATACTTTATCTTATTTAATACCAGATTCTTAAATAAAAATTAACGTTGAATATTATTAGAATTTGAGTTACACCAAGCCACACAAATTTTTTTTTATAGAGAACTTTGACAAAGGAAGGGACTAGGTGCAATTTGAAAGCAACGTGGCGTAATGTAGTTGGACATTACTCCCCCCGAAAGTTTCGCATCTAAAGTATGTGAATTCAGCTCCTTTGCCACGCAACGCCACGTCACTAGGCACAATAGGAATAAATTTTTGGTTCTAGTGTTGCACCAAAATTCAGTACATCCTATCAATGGAACATTACAATCATAGAAGAGAGAAAAAATTTGACAGAAAAAAAAATTTAGCTGACATGTAAAATTTTTGTTGAGATATATAGTCCCACATTGGTTGTATGAGCAACTAATGTGAAGTTTATAAGGCCTTGGGTACTCCCACCCTTTGAGCTAGCTTTTGAGGTGGTGTATCCTAAGGTTCTTTACATGGTATCAGAGCTTCGCCGCCTCTCACTTTCTCTTGTGGAGTTTCTTAGCACAGGTAGGCTGGGCCTGTTGCATTGTCCACTCTTCAAGCCCAATGGCTCTAGTGTGAGGGGGCGTGTTGAGATATATAGTCCCACATTGGTTGTATGAGCAACTAATGTGAAGTTTATAAGGCCTTGGACACTCTCACCCTTTGAGCTAGCTTTTGGGGTGGTAACCTCAAGGTTCTTTACAATTTTTATTGGTGGGATGTACTGATCTTTGGTGCAACAGTAGCACCAAAGATTTATTCGCACAGTAGCAGGCTATGAAGCACCGACACTTCAAAAACTCTGACGTGTCGTGTCTGACACTTCCCGACACTCTCGGGCACTCTGACACTCCCCGACACTCCAACACGCGTTATTGAAATTCAAAAAACGGTTCAAAGGTTAAATTGCGTTGAGTTTTTAGTTCCAACTGTTAGATTCGTTAGATTACGATTACCATTTTATTGAGTTTAATATAAATATTTGGAATATCTTATGTTTCTTTGCAAAATTTATGAATATTATAAGTTTAGATACATTTATTTGTTAAATTATTGAATATTAAAGATAATATATACTACATAAATTAAATATATTATTTAATATCAAAACGTGTCCTAACGTGTCGAAATTTAATATTTTTTAGAATTAATGTGCTGGAGTGTCGTGTCGTATCGTGTCACGTGTCCCGTGTCAGTGTCGGTGCTACATATGTAGGAGGCTCTTTCACCTAAAAGCGATTTTTTACTCTTCAATATATCAATTTGATATTTGATTCCCGATATTTACTAATAGAGGTCATTTAATATCGTGAGGGACTCCAGCGACATTGAGTGTCGGCCCCCACCCCCGCAGCACTCACATGATTGTGCTAAATGGCACAATCTCGTTAGTCCCATTATCATAAAACTTCAAAATGTTGTAAATTTTGACTCAGGTATCCAAATTAATTTTTTTTTATGATTTTATATAAATTTTCAAGATCTACACAATGTCACTTAATTTGACATATTTTATCTTCCATAAATATATTTCAAATTTGCAACAATAGTTCCACAATAACAAGAACGTTTAAATTCAAATTTTGGCGGGAAGAGGTAAAAACCCTTGATTTGTTTAGCTTCCTCTATTTTCAAATCAATTTTGTTGAGATTTTAATTAATTGAATTTCTATTTGTTAAAATTGTAACAGCATCTATGCGAGACAATAATTAATTTCAAATTTTGTTTTTATGAAGAAAACAAAATGAAAAAAAGTTGGAGCAAAAATGAGGTGTTATTATATAGATTTCGAAAAGTTATGTAAAATTAAAAAATATATATCTAATTTAGATACTTGAGTTAAAGTTACGGCCTTCCGAAGTTTTACAGTAATCTTGTGAGTGTCGCGAGAGGAGGAGGGGCGATACTCAGTGTTGTTAGGGACCCCTGACACTAATCGGCCCTTTTTGATAAATATCCGTAATCAAATACTAAATTGTATCCGTAATCAAATATCAAATTGGTACACTAAAAATTTAAAAACCCTCGGATTGGTCAAAAAGCTCACAATAGCACCTGGTATAAAGGGAAGTTCTATTCAGATGCGAACAATCTTACTTTCACTACTGTTGCTTAGGAATCCAATTGGTGCTGTTGAGAACAGGATTGACCAAATTTCCAAAAAGTCATACATTATTTATTTTTTTCTGCTCATTTTGTTATTGATAACTGATAAGTGCACTTGTCCATAAAGAGCACCATGGCCCTACTAATCGGAACACTGATCAAAATGTTACGTTTTGTCAAATTTTTTATCCAAATATCACGCGAACAATATTTTTACCAGACTGTCACGTGTCATAATTCGCTACCACTGGTAGCGAATTTCGTGGCCAATAATTTTGTGACACGTTGTTATATTGCAGACCAAATTCACTACTAGTAGTAAAGAATTATGACACGTCAGCTTTTTCATGTGAAAGTGTGCCACGTGTCAAAAAATCATTCGTGAACATGATATGCTACACAGGGTAGCGAATTACTATCTGCTTGACACGTGTCATTTTTGCTAACTGTGCATTCTGACGTGGCATAATTCGCTACACTGTGTAGCGAATTATTTGCAAGCATATTTCGTTACACAGTGTAGCGAATTATCCCCCGTGGCATTCTGAAAAAATTTACTGTTGACGTGACAGTCTGATAATTTTTTTGACTAGGCGTGATAAAATGGTCACTGTTCCCCACTGATCACTGACTTAATCACGGCAGAGAATAATTTCATTAAAAGTTTAATTAGAAGATAGATGAAAGAATTCTTTCGAATTGTAATTTATAATTCAGTTTATGATTTTTGTAAAATTTATAAGTTTTATTATTTATTCCGTCAAAATGGAAAAAAAATTATATACTTAAAAAGAAGAAAATAAAATTCAGAAACTTAATTTTTCTCATTTTGAGAAATTGAAATGCAGCTACAAACTAGTAATTTAACCAATAACATTAATGATGATAGAAGTATAATTCCCTGTCAAATGTTTTACCACCCAAATACTTTCATTAATAATGTTAAAAAAAATAAAATAATTTTCATATTGATTTCAACTTTTTTGTAATTAAAATAAGGGAAATCATTTTCTGATGTGATATAAGAAGAATTATTTCATGTAGCAGAGACAATATTATAAACGAGATTCATAAATAAGAGAAGAGAAAAAAATAGAGATAAGATCCATATTTCTTTTGTGTGTATATAAAAATTTGACTTCTCTTATATAAAATAAGAGACATATAACTCTTATAATAAAATTACATTTTCTCTTAAAATATGAATATATGATATTGTCAACACATTCTTGAAAGAATTAGGTGATATGAATATTTGTTTCGGGTGACGGTGTTTTTTTAATTTTTACAAAATTGTTATGAAAGTTCACAAGTACTTTTTTAATAAAGTATAAAGAAAGGGTAATATTAGTCTCATGTAACATGAGAGTAATTCTCTTATGTTACAGAGAGAATCTAAATAGGGTCAGCTATTTAAAAGCAAAAAAGAAAAAGAAAAAAGAAGGAGCACAATTTTTGAAGTGAGAAAAATGAGATAACTACCTCATATAAAATGAGAGTAGTATTTCCCATAAAGAAATTCAGAAAACATCTTTAATTTAGATTTATAAAAAAGTACAAATTAAAAATTTATTTGAGAAAAATATTTTTCTTTTTAAATATTATAATTTTGTATCATTTAAATGAAATTATTATGTTTTGGTGATTTTTTTTTTTTACCTTTTTTCTTGATTTTGTGGATAATAGAGAAGGTAAAAAATTATCAAAACATAAAGGTTGATTTAAAATAATATAAAATTATGTCTTTAAAATGACAAATATTTTTTCATATTTATTCACCTAAAATCAACTTAAATCATAATTACTATAAGACTTACGGACAAGTTCTACAAATTATAAACAAAATTGTTTTTATTATTACATAATTTTGTTTATACTTTGTCATTAGATAAATAAAGTTTAATATTTTAAAATATAATTAGGTATCAAAAACTAAATATTTTTTATAATATTTTCTATACACATAAAATGTTTTGTTAATCAAATCAATGCATGCACGTATCTTAATATTTAATTAATGTTGAAGCACGATTACTATTATATGGATCTCTCGAAATCAAATAGGTTAACTATAATTGAAATTATAACACTGCATGCATATCTTGAAATTCCAAATAGAGAATATTCCAATATCCATGCGTAGTTTATTATTATTAATGTTTTTGGATAATCTAAAATTTTAAGCTTGAGAACTCGGCAAGTGTTGAATGTGGAGCATTCGTGTCAACGGAATCCAAATACAATTCAAATATGGCATAATGTAAGCAAAAAACAGAGCAAAAATATTATTATTTTAATTCCTTCCATTTTTTTAATAAAATATTTTACAAAAAATTTTTATATTACTTTCTCAAGAGTTTCTAATAATAATAATTTATTAATTTTCATGTGCTTGTCTTTCTTCCCTCCAATCATTTTCCTCCGTTTTATTTTCTTTTCTCTTCTTTTCTTTTTCTCTAATTTTCCGGGAAAATTTCTCTCACTCTTGCTCTCTGGTTTCCCGGCGACAGAGAAGGAAGTAGAAGAGTAGAAGGAAGAAATTTCTCTGCTTCTACGGAAACTCTTCCCTTCCCTTCCCAATTTCCGTGATCAACAGAAATTCTTCACACCACTTCCTCAATAACAATCCTCCATGAATTCTCTCTAGCCCCTGTAATTTTTCTCGTCTATTCTCTTTCACAAGGTACTGTTCTTGTTCCTCTCTCTCTCTCTCTCTCTCTCTCTTTTTCTTTTCAGTTTATTTTATTTTATTTTTCTAAATTTACGCTTTTCAACTATTGGAAGGGACTCAATTGTTTTTTCTTTCAAAATTTGGTTTTTCTGTACTTGATCGGGTTACTGGCAAATGAGTCTTTGTTATTTTAGTGCATGAGCTTGAACTGGTGTGGGGCTTGGTGGTGGTTGTGGTGGATAATCTGGGAGTAACTGTTTGTGTTTGTGTTAAAATTCTCATTTTGGGGTTGGGTGAAGTTGATTAAATTTTCTGGGTAATTTTTGGTTTGGACCTTAAGTTGACTCTGTAGTCTTCCTTACTCAGTTGTGAAATGCATCAGCTACTGAGTATTCTTTATTTGGTTTTCATTAATCTCTTTAATTTGTCTCTCCTATTATTTAGGCTTGTGCAGTTATAGTTACTGTGCTGATAATATTATGAGAAAGTTTACTGTGTAGTTTGGTTTTGGAATTTAGTTGACTCTATGGTCTTGTGTCAGTTGGGAAATGCTTTGGCTGCTAAATGTTCTATGCTTGTTTTCTTCGTTCTCTGTAATTTTTCGTTCCCACAGTATAATACAATTGTGCTTTTATGGCACAACGCATAGGCAATCTGTTTGGATTCTGGTTATGTCCTAACTTTAATTTTCCTGTTCATTTTTTAATGGCTTGTTTTGAATGGTTGAACTTGATGGAACATAGTAGAGTTAAAGAATGACCATAATAGAAAGGCCAAGGATGTGATCTCCTTCATTTGGGAATCTTTATTACAAGGAAAGAAAAGGAAATTTGGAGTTCTCTTGTTTGCAATCGTAGAAGGGAAAATTTGAAATAACTTATCATTGTAGTTGATTTTTTCTTTTTTCCTAGGTTGATCCCCATAGGACTGGGCAGCTCCTTTCTTCAGTATCTATTTCATCCATCCAAATGAGCTATAAAAGTTGTATTGGTCAACACAATGTCATGGTTATAGTTGTTGGTTAATTCAACTTGGTAGATATCCATAGTGGTTGTAATCTTTGCTCTGTAAGTTATACCAATGATTGCATCTTACTCCCCTCTTTGGGCTCTCAAGGTGAGACAAAGTTAAGAAAGAGATAAAACTATGAGAAAACCTTTGTCTATCTTTTGTGAGACTAAATTGTGATGCACCTTGACTTGATTGTGACAATTTTTCCATTTATAGCACGTTGGTTCGCAATAATTTTATAACGTCTTCTAGTAACTGATATTAAGAATCTGACCCTTCTTTTTTCTTTGAATTTAGCAATAGTAGTAGAAAGTGACTGAAAATGGACAAACATTCCGGGGATTCTTTGCCTGCTCATGGTGTTGTAGGTGCGTCCTCTTACTTCATATGTCATGCATAAAATCTTGTGTAGAGATATTTTCTTAAAATTAGTTTTCATGTTGTTCTTGTAGGCCTATCTGAGATTTCCTCACTTAATATTCCAAAAAAGGTGGGAAGCAGTGCATGGGGAATACCGCATGCGACTAATGTATTTCATGATTCAAGTGATGTTAGCTTCTTTTCTAGTTCACTGCCTGTTCTTCCACACGAAAAGTGTAAGCTTGAGATGATGATTCTAACAGAACAGATTGGAATCAGTCAAAATGATTATTAAGACTTTTTTTTTTTCCTTTTTATTGTTGATATGCAGTAAATTTGACTGATTCTGAGCATCATGATCAACCGGTTGATGATAACTTGCTGACATTAGATAAAGTTCACAAAGAGGATGAGGGACATGATCCTTTCATTGATTTTGAAACCAATGCAATTGGAAACATGCTTCCTGATGATGAAGACGAGCTTTTAGCTGGGATAATGGATGATCTTGACCTTAGTAGGTTGCCCAGCCAACTGGAGGATTTGGATGAAAATGATCTGTTTATCAATGGAGGGGGGTTTGAAATGGACTTTGAACCCCAGGACAGCCTTAGTATTGGTATGTCAAAAATAAGCATGTCAGATTTAGTTGCGTCAAATGGTATTGGTCATTATGCAATCCCAAATGGCGTGGGAACAGTGGCTGGGGAGCATCCCTATGGAGAGCATCCATCAAGGACATTATTTGTTCGAAACATCAACAGTAATGTCGAGGACTCTGAATTACGAACACTGTTTGAGGTGTTGTACATTTACCTAATGCTTCACTAGTATTATATTTATCTTTAAGCAGAGCATCCATCAAGGACATTATTTGTTCGAAACATCAACAGTAATGTTGAGGACTCTGAATTACGAACAGTGTTTGAGGTGTTGTCCATTTACCTAATGCTTCACTAGTGACTAGTATTGTATTTATCTTTAAGCAGAGTATTAAATGTGTTTGGTAATCATGTTTTTGCTTCTTTTGTTACAAACCTAAGTCCATGAATTAGTATAACTAATTGAGGCATTTTACCTTAAGCTAATCCTTCAATAGAGCTATGTCTATCTTTAAACCCAGTTGGTTTTCTTGGGAGTAAGGAGATTACCGAGTTGGTGCTTAACCTTTGAAAGTAAATTTCTAGGTGAAATACTTGTGATCATTTAATTGATAATTTTGAGGTTAAGAAATAATGAAAAGTTGCCTATTATTTAACCTTTTAATCTGTCTGGTTCTTGAAATTTGGGAAGAGTAATATTTTCCAAATTTTTGGTTAAGCTTGAAATTTAATAAATGAGAAGGTAAGATTTTCAAGCTTCTCAAACAATTAATGTTTGCTTAGTTTTCAATGATTCTTATGATAAATTTCAAAAGTTTTGGAGAGAATAAGGCGGTTGAAACTTTGTGGTAGTGTGCGGTTGATGCTATTCTCTGGTATATCTGGTTGGAGAGGAATATGTGCATTATTAACAGTGTTTCTTTGCCCTTATGTTTCCATGTCTGGGCAGGGATTGGACACTTTAAAGGCTCTTAAGTTCACTCTTTTCTTTTATTTTCTCTGTTGGAGTATATGTTATCCTTAACTGTTTTTGTATTTTTCATCCGTTTTGTATATAGTTTATGTTTTAGTTATGCATTTCTTTTTTATGTATAACATGAAAAGATCTTGTTTTTCTCCCTTTATTTTGCTATTCTTGTTGTTGATTCTTTTTTTTTTTTTTTATAGCAATATGGGGATATCAGAACTTTGTACACAGCATGCAAGCATAGGGGCTTTGTGATGATATCTTACTATGACATTCGAGCTGCTCGAACTGCAATGCGCGCTTTACAAAACAAGCCATTGAGACGAAGAAAACTTGATATCCATTTTTCAATTCCTAAGGTTTGATTTTTATAACATTACTTAATGTTTGACTGATTATCATTGATGTTCCTTTGTGATATTCATCTTTCTTCTGCTGGTTTCAGGATAACCCCTCGGAAAAAGATATTAACCAAGGAACCCTTGTTGTGTTCAATTTAGATCCATCAGTATCGAATGATGACCTTCGTCAAATATTTGGGGCTTATGGTGAGGTCAAGGAGGTAATACATGTTTTATCTGTTCATCTCAAATGTATTTTCTTTGATCTCTGCTTAATTTTTATTTAGTGCTTGGAGTAGTTGTAATTTTTGTATTAAAAGTGCAGATCAGGGAAACACCACACAAGAGACACCATAAATTTATTGAGTTTTATGATGTTAGAGCAGCAGAGGCAGCTCTTAAAGCATTGAATCGGAGTGATATTGCTGGGAAACGCATAAAACTTGAACCCAGCCGCCCTGGTGGAGCGCGTAGAAAGTAAGTTGGATTTTATCTTGGTTAGTGTGCTATAAATATTTTTCCATTAAAATTTATTTTTCTTCGTTGACCTGGTTTCTTAAATCTTTTGTGTATGTTAGAAAGGTAGTGACATGCTCGAAAGTTTTGTATATCATATATGTAAAGAACCAATTCAACCCAAAAGCTTAAGCTATTGAGTGAGGCTACATTAATAGTTTTATATATCTCAATACGCCCCCTCACACGAGAGCTCACTGGACTTGAAGGGTGGACAATGCACAGGCCCACCTACCTGTGCCAAGAAAGAAATTCCACTAGAAAGAAAATGGGGGGCGGTGAGGATCGAACCCGGTATACTGAGGCTCTGCTACCATGTAAAGAATCAATTCAACCCAAAAACTTAAGCTATTGAGTGAGGCTACATTAATGGTTTTATATATCTCAACAATATATATTAATATTTATTGCTTAAGTTGATATTAAGTTAGTTGCTTGTAAGTAGCTAATAAGTTAATTGAAGTTGCTTTCATGGAGAAAAAGTCTGGGTGGTTAAATCTGGAAAGTGAAAGGCGATAATGTGGTTCTAATTATCCATCAAATTCTTAAATTAACTGCTCAGATAAGCTTGCATCACCTTATTAGGATCTAAAACCAATTTGCCGTGTTTGACATTCCTTAAAATTTTTTTATCGTAAAGGAATATTCTAAGCATTATGTTTGAGCTAGTGAATTTCAGCTTCAATATGTGGATTTTGTTCAGCCATCCTATCTCCTATGACTTTCACACCTTTCATGCTCTCATTCATAGCATTTTCTTTTCATATGCATGCTAAAATGCAGTTATGTATTGGGGTATAATAGTTGGTGTCAAAGTAACTACAAACTAATTACCCTGGTAGGCAATCTGTAAGCTTGTAAACCTGTCCTAATATAAAATGGGGATGTGGAAAGAAATAGATGTTAAGAAATAAAATTATTGTACTATAAGGCATGTCTCTATTCATAGTTTTACACCAATATATTGAAATATAAAGCACTCTGCTGGGATGCAGTTGGGTCTGTGCACTATTATTAGTTCTGTTGATGTTTTGTTTTCTCCAGCTTTCTTAGGAACTTTAGCTACATTTCTTGTCCTCCTCCTTTTTTTGTGACTGTGTACAGTATGCATGTAATTCTTGACCAATTAGTTTTTTCTTTCATTTTTGTAGACACTTGATGCTTTGGTCATTTCATCTCTTCTGCCTTTTGTTTTTGTTTTTCTCATTTTAGCGTTATTAATATTATTTTATTATTATTTTGATATGGTTTAGACTAATATTATGTTTTATATCCTTATACACAAATGACAATGTTATTATTTTCTACATAATGAAACCCATGAAAAACCAGTGATGCATTTTCTCTTGTTAGCTTGATGCAACAACTGAGTCAAGAACTGGAACAAGATGAAGCTCGAACTTTTAGGCATCAAGTAGGTTCACCTCTGGCCAGTTCTCCTCCGGGTAAATGTCTCAATCTAATCTTCTTTCTCATGTGAAATTCTAGTTATATCATTTTAGAAACGTATCTTCAGTTATAAGTTAAATTAGTTGGCTATTTTTCTCAGGTAACTGGGCACAGTTTGGTAGTCCTGTTGAACACAATCCATTAGGTTCTTTTAGCAAGTCCCCTGGTTTGGGTCATGCCAGCCCTATGAATATTAACCATTTGTCTGGATTGGCTGCAATTCTTTCTCCGCATGCATCAACCTCTACCAAGATTGCACCAATTGGCAAGGACCCTGGCAGGGCTGCAAATCAGATGTTTGCAAACTCTGGTTCAACACAAGCAGCAGCTTTTCAGCATTCTATGTCCTTTCCTGAGCAAAAAGTAAATGCCAGTCCTAGGCCTATATCTACTTTTGGTGAATCAAATTCAAGTTCATCAAGTATTGGAACACTGTCTGGTCCTCAATTTCTTTGGGGGAGCCCAACTCCTTATTCAGAGCATTCAAACACATCTGCCTGGTCTTCATCTTCTGTGGGTCTTCCATTTACTTCTAGTAGCCAAAGGCAGGGTTTCCCATATACTAGTCACCGTGGTCCTTTTCTTGGCTCCCAGCCCCATCATCATGTAGGATCTGCTCCATCTGGCCTTCCTCTTGATAGGCATTTTAGTTACTTCCCAGAGTCCCCTGAAACTTCTCTCGTGAACCCGGTTGCATTTGGGAATTTGAATCATGGTGACGGGAATTTTATGGTGAACATGGGTGCTCATGCATCTTTAGGAGTTGGTGTTGGCCTTTCAGGAAATACCACTGAAATTAGTTCACCAAGTTTCAGAATGATGTCACTGCCTAGGCATGGTTCCTTGTTCCTTGGAAATGGTTCATATTCTGGACCAGGAGCAACTAACATTGAGGGATTAGCTGACCGTGGACGAGGCAGGCGACCTGATAATAATGGGAACCAAATTGATAGTAAGAAACTGTACCAGCTTGATCTAGACAAAATCATCAGCGGTGAAGATACAAGGACTACTTTAATGATTAAAAACATTCCTAACAAGTAAGAACAACTAAACAAGTATCCTAGTGATTTGATCAATATACTAGCAATTTGATTGGGATGGTAACTGATGAATTTCTGAGTGACGTTTGCCCTTTTGTGATTGCTTTTAAGGTACACTTCGAAGATGCTGCTTGCTGCAATTGATGAGAATCACCGGGGTACTTATGACTTTCTCTACTTACCAATTGACTTTAAGGTATATACATCCCATTTTTCATTAGGGTTGAGGGATCTTTACTGCCAGGATGACTTATTTCTTAATGTCTCTTTTTGCTTGCAGAATAAGTGTAATGTGGGTTATGCTTTCATCAATATGGTGTCTCCTTCACACATCATCCCCTTCTATAAGGTTTAATTTCTATACCGTTGCATGTCTGAGGTCATATTTTTCTGTTACTATATTTAAATTCTCATGTTCTATATAAGGATTTCCTTAATGTGAGTTATGCTTTCATCAATATGATGTCTCTTCACCTATCCATCCCCTTCTATAAGGTTTTAATTCTATACTGATGCAAGTCTGAGGTCATATTTTTCTGTTGCTCTCATATGCATAGTTTTTGATATAAGGATTTCCTTAATGTGACAATGTATCATAAGGATATGTGTCTGTATGGAATTATTCTGATATTTTCTTTTTCAAAGTAAATATAAATAGAAGATTGAATGTATTTTTATTGGTAGTTTCTGGTAATTTGGAAGTATTAAACTTGCCTGTGGCCTGGAGAAATTTGCATACTTAAATTTTAAGAAGTCTATCATGGATATTTATGTAGGCATTTAATGGGAAGAAGTGGGAGAAGTTTAATAGTGAAAAAGTTGCATCATTGGCATATGCACGGATACAAGGAAAGGCTGCGCTTGTAATGCATTTTCAGAATTCGAGCTTAATGAACGAGGATAAGAGGTGCCGGCCAATTCTCTTTCATTCAGAGGGCCAAGATACTGGTGACCAGGTAAGATATTCACCGAACTTCAGGTTATACATTGAACTTGAAATGAGGAGGTTAATTTTCATAGAAGTTCTAGACTCCTCTTGGAGAAGGGATTTGTTATGTTGGACAAGTAAATGAGATTAGAAAGAAAAAGAAAAAGTAATGAGTCTGTATTGTTTGTTGGAAGTTTGAGGTTGTGCATTTTTACGAAGTTCTTATCGACGATATCCGAATCTATAGAATTCTCTTATTAATCTTGAAGTAGTCAGAGGTGACACCCTACCTTAACTCTATATGTACCCGTTGACATGGTTGGCAGACCGGTGTTGCAGACTTGAGCTGTAGTAGTTATGAGAACTGTATCATAAAAACTGCACAAACTATCTATTTCACCTTTTAGATGTACCTATTCACATGGATTGGCAGGTCTGAGTATACACTTTATTCTTATGCAGAACTCAAATAATAAGTTGATTGAATGGTTTCCGAGATGGTATTGAGGATTGCTTGATTGTGATGTCACATTTAAGTAGTCGATTTTACTTTGAGATGCAACAGGAAACCGATAAGTTGTTACACTATACTTTTCTTATTTATGTAAAAGCTAGAATAATTGATCAATTTATTTCTTTAACATTTGATTTCAAGTGCTTGTCTGACTACTTTTCTCTGCTTACCATCTAGGAACATTTTCTATCCAGCAATTTGAATATATGCATTCGTCAACCAGATGGGTCTTACTCTGGTGATTTGTTGGAGAGCCCCAAGGGCAATTTGGATGAGAAGCTAGAGAAAGATTAACCATTTGTTAATAATTGTTCCTAGCCATAATGAATGGGGTCTAGGAGTGCTAACTACTGCATAGGCGATCTTAAGGTGTACAAAGCTGATTCATCAAAAAAAAAAAAAAAAAAAATGGTGTATAAAGATGAAGGGAGCAGCCCAGTTTATCAATGGTAGGCGAGACTGAATGTTAATAGTTCATAATAATCATAAAAATTGCAGGGAGCAATTTGTTGATCTGCAGAGAAACAATTATTACACAACCAGTGGAAAAGAATAACTTGGAGTGTATTGCTGGATATATGTTTCTACAGCATGCATGCCAGATTGTGCAGGATGACTCTCTCTGGGATTTGTTATTTTTTTCTTCCTTTTTGAAGATGTTGTGGCCTCTTGCGGTATGATTAATGTGTATATGGGGAAAAAAAAAAAAAAACCATTGTGGACAAAAAGTTTGTATAGAAGGGAAACAAGGAACTATGCTGCTTGTCATTGTTGTTGTCATGTAAGCAAAAACACGTGAATGTCTGTAAAGATGCGGACCAGTTTCTTGCCATTGCATTCATGTCAGAATATTGTTAGTGAAAGACTAAGTACTTTGAAACATTGGATATTGTTTGAAGTGCTGTTTTATTTTTCTTGTATGAATGTGTCATCCTTTCTAGAAATTATAAGCATGTAAAAATTTAGTTGGACAGAAGTTTCTTTAAAATTATCAGTTGTCAACTGCTTCTGAGCAATTAACAAAAACTTAATGAGTGAGAAAATAAATCTGGCATGTTTGTAGCTTAAATTACCGAATTCATATTAAACAGGGATTCCAGCAATGGCTTCAAATTCTGATGCCTTTTGATCTTATACGAGAGTTTACTAAGTATTTTGGACTAAACTTATTTTATATTCATATTAGTTTATAATCCAACTTTTTAAAGATAACCTCTTTTATAAAAAAACTTCGAAATTTGAAGAACCAGAACGAATTATGACCACACCACACTGCTCGTTAATAGTGAAACTCTTTAGGTAGAAATCACACCTCTTCCTCCTGTAAGATATGCATTTCTTGAACTGAAGTCTACATATTTTTTCCAAGCATTTTATGGTTCTGTTTGTATTTTTAGGTGTTGTCTTCATGATTTTGAATTAATTCATATAAGTCTTACTGACAAAGGCTAAAAATAAGGGGATTTTAACCAAGTCAGATCTGAATTCTAATAAGAATTAAGCTATATTTTGATTGATGAAAAATGTTAGTTTCCATCGTTTAAAGTACAATGGAATGGAATGGAAATATTTCATTCCCTTTTATCCATGAGAACTTTACTTCTTTCCATCATAAAATATCCAAAACTATAATATAATAATTTTATTCCATTCCACTTCTCAGAATTGACGTAGTGAGTGCTGGTCGCAGTGAAAGTGATTGTTTAAATCCCAGGATCAAAAGTTCGATTCTTAGAAAAGTGCCTATAGAATTACTTCTTTACATCATAAAATATCCAAAACAATGATATAGTAATTTTATTCCGTTCCACTTCTCATTAGATATCCAAATCACTGTTATAAAATTCGGCTCGACTCGGAACCCGATGAATTGGTCATTAGATCGATTCGGGTTAAATATTAGACCAGTTATGCATCAGACCCGGTCAAATCCGGTGACTCGGTCGGGTCATGCATTTAAAAAATAAAAATAAAAAAAATAAAAAATGTTTCATCTTGTCAGAAAAAAATGTAGAATTCATTTTAAAACCTTTTTGTACTTTTATTTGCTAGTATACTCTTCTACAATGATATCAAATTCTAGTTTTCAATACTGAAACAATTTGCGGAATAATAAATTAAGAGAATGTGATATATATCATTTTGATGTAGATGGATTTGAAAAATATGAGTTCAATGTCATTGAGAAGTATGTTTATAGGAATTCTGAGTTGCAATTTAAATTGACATAGTAATAACTTGTATTTTCATTTATTTGTGCTTAATATTTTTTAGGTTATTTAGTGAACCTTATTTAATTCATTTAAGATACGGAGAATATAATTAAATTGTTTAATAACACTAGTCCAAACATAAGAGTTGAAGGTATTAGACAGTTAGAAGGATTCACCTGAGTATTGGTCGTAGTGGTTGAAAGTGATTGTTGGAACCCCAAGATCAAAAGTTCGATTCTTAGATAAGCACTCGGGGGTGGGGGTGGGGGTGGGGGATATGTCGTACCATTCCGTTTGCTTCCTAAATTATGAAATGAAAACTTTACTTCTTTCCATCATAAAATATCCAAAACAATGATTAGAGTAATTTTATTCTATTCCACTTCTCATTCAATATCCAAACATAGCCTTTAGTCCTTATCAAGAGTTGAAGGTATTAGAAAGTTAGAACTTAGAAGCATTCACCCAATGAGTGCGGGTCACAATGGTTAAAAGTGATTGTTTGAATCTCAAGGTAGAAAGTTCGATTCTTAGAGGAGCACTTTTGAGGAGATCTTTATCCTTCACCACATCCCGATCGAATTGCGAAAGGAATGTATATAAGTTAGAAGGATTTGAAGACCAACTAAGGTTATGGAAAAAAAACTCTACAACCTGGGAAACTTCTATTATATTAAGAGAGAACTAATAGAGAAAGAGAGTCGTGGAGCCTTTGCTTAAAAGAAGATGACTGCGGAATCCCCAAGGCGAGAACTTTGATTTAGAAGCAAGGATTTGGAGCCAAAGAAAAACATCTTGAAGAAATCCAGCAACAAATTTCATATTATTCATTCTTTTACTTTCCTAGGATGGATTCATGTTTTGTTTTTATATATTTAAATTCGAATAGTGCTTTAATGTTTTTAAGAGGTTACACCCCTTTTTCTAGGAATTGGATGTTATACTTTCTTGTGATGAATGCTTGATTTATTATTTATTAGGTGAAATTACAATTTTCTTAATTCATTCTTTGTGTTCTTAATGTCTGCAGTATGTCGGGACCCCATATTTGCAAAGTCTTAGGTATTAGATGAGGGATCAAAACATGAAGTTTTACTAGAAATTCATGGAATGCAACCTATGCTTCTTAGACTTCGAAATAGGTTAAATCCTTTTGAGGAGTAATGGATATCATAAAATGAGTTTCAATTAATGTAGTATTACAAAAGTAAGTATTATACTAATTATAACACGATCTTCTGGACTTAAAAAAATAAATTAAATTACAATAGGATAATTATATTGAAAATTCAAGAATGAGTAATGAAGTCTTATATTGGTTCGAAATGGATTAAATGAAGATTATATAAGTGAAATGATTCATTAATCTAATTTCTTAAGGTTTTAGATTGAAATATGTTATGAAACCATTTATTCCTGTGATTTAGTGTTTAGCTCATTGATGATAATTCTAGCACTCCAACAAATCCATATATAAGAGCATTATTAAAGAATAACTGACATTTGTTGATTCATTACTTTTCTTGTTGTTGCCTGCTTTTTCAATTTTAGTTTACTTTCTAATTATTTTCTTCATAATTTTCATTAAACTAGATAATCAAAATTATCATAGTTTAGTAATCATTTGATCCTTACTAAAATGACACTACTTATTCCTTTTATTTTTCGATAACACATGCTGTTTGTAATTTTCCCAAATCCACTTCATGGCCTGTTTGAGTAACTAATGTTTATGGGTTTAAGTTTTCTTATCTTGTAGGATTGTAGGAGAGAAAAAAAGTAGAGAGAAGTTAAATGTAGGTCTCATATTTTATATTAAAAAAGAAAAGAAAAATTAATTGGCACGGAAAACGAATTAGTGTAGAAAAATAATGTACTCTTATGTAGCATAAGAGTATTATTTCCCAATGTTTATATGGGAAAAAAGAAAATCCGATTTATGGCGAAGAAGTTTTGATGAAGGTAAAAAAAGGACTTCCCCTGTTTGTCAATTTGACAAAAAGAATGTTTGAATGACCGTACATGTGTGAAACAGCTTCCAGCCGTTGCATGTATTTCAGAATACTATTACTGAACATATAAGTAGTCAGACATATTGGAGGATCTTTGAAGAACTGTTTTCATTTCTCTTTTATGAACGTATGAACGCATGAGAGCTAAGCAGATGGAGGTGAGAACATGTGTTCGAATCTCTCCAGTACCACCTTTGGGAGGAGTCTAAAGCCTTAATCCTGGACCCGCCCCGAATCGGATTAATTGCGAAACAATGAACTGATTGAAATATTTCCAAAAAGAATATAAGATTTCTCAGCCGGACAAATTTTAAAACATGGATTCCAACAATGACTTCAAATTCTGATGCCTGTTAATGAGTAATCTTAGGCAAGATTGGATGATTTGCATTAGGTCTTATACCAGATTTGACACTCAACTCAGTTCAGAGTGCATTCTGGAACATAAATTAAAAATCACAGGTTTCACTGTGCTAAGCTCATAGCAATGCATAGCAGAAGTGAAAGTATGTTATAATAATGTTAAACAAGGAAAAAAAAAAATTGTATTTGAGAATCCCTTTTATAAAAAAGTTCAATGTTTTTCCCCTTGGTTATATTTTGCCTTTAAATTTGTAGGGCATTAGCAATTGACCCTGCTAGACTCAATACTTCAAAAGGAGCTTTATTTGCTATAGCTTTGACAGTAAGTGGGCAAGAATCTGTGATCCAGAAGTAAGCAAATGCATTCTTCTCCAAGGCTTCTGCAAATAAAATCAAATGGCAATAGCATTCAAATATATGAAAATATAGGAATGTAGAAGAATGTGACATCAAGCTAGGACTAACCATCTTTATGAGTGAATCTCTCCCATGATTGGTTAGGGAACACGCCGTGGGTGACATAGGCACTCACCTTTGCTGCACCATGGGCTGCTAAAACTTTCTAAGGGAAACCAACATGAAAAAGAGAGAAATGTTAAGTTGGATCTAGATGCAGACACATGCATTAATAATTAACATATGCAGACCCATGAATATAGAGATAAGGTTGCTTATGCTAGGTTTTCAAACCCAACACCCATAATCTTAAGAAAAAAAAGAAACCTGGTCCTATAAAGCTCCCGTTCTACGCATGGTCCAGTAAAGGGCTATAGTAGCCAGCCTTACCTTACATTTGCAAGAGGCTGATTACATGGGTTGTCAAATGGCAACAACATTAACCCATAATCTTAAAAGTTAAAACATGCAAATTTCTCTTGACAAAGTGAATATCTTTTTTGATTCACAAATTGATCAATTGACCTGACACTCAATCAGGGTGCCTCCAGATTGGACCAAATCATCAACAATGACTACATGATAACCAGAGACGTTGCCTTCCTTGAGCCGAACTATCCTCTTGTCACCTTCACGAACCTTTGTACACACAACCTGCCACCTCAAAAGTTCAGACAATCTATAAAAAAATGAAGTACAAATTAAATAAAGAGATACTTACGGAGGACCTACCACTGAAAAATTATCAAACTGCTTGTGGAATCGCTTCCAAGCACCATCATCTGGAAATGCAATAACTACCTGGAAATAAAAATAAGAAATTCTGCTCATAAAAAAAATAAAATAAGGGAATAGCAAGCGTGGAAATTTTCCATGGAATATAAAACATCCATTGTATTAACATTACAAGTTTATCACTACAGATAAAGGTGCGACTGAAATAATGCAAAATACTCACATTTTCAGCATCAGGAAGCTGACGCAGACGTTCCTTTAAGAGAGGAATACCAGTCACAAACAAAGGCAAAACCTCATCTCCAAAATAAAACCTCTCCTGCAAAATTTTGAATCATGAACAAGAGAGAAAAAAAAATTATAGTATACTGATTCAACATCAAGACATATGAAAGCAGTGGAGAAAGACAGAATGATGAAACAATGTTGCAAAAACTCAACTTTTCTACCAAGAATCATGACCTCCTAAGAGATTTAAGAGAGAACATTAAAAGAGAAAATGGATAAGTTTTATTATGTTGTTACATAGCTTAAGCATGCTGTGGAAGTTGAACTAAATGGGAGCATAGTTGAATAAGTTGTTCAAACATGTAAAAGTTAAACACGTATGGTTCTTATGCCTTAAAAACTGAAAATCAAAAGAGCAGAACATGTCATCTAACAAGAACAACAATTTAAACAGAAACGAAACTTATACATTTAACCTTTTACACCCATGTAAGCCATGTATTCTATATGATGGTACCTTCACTCATTCTTTCAAGAGGGAAACCTCCACTTCAATTAAGAAAAGTTCTTTGATAGTTTAATATAAGACAAGAAAAGAGAAGTGCAATATAAACACACACCCATCATGCAAAAGAGACTATGCAACAAAATTTCCATTTACAATAAAAATATATTTATTAACAATTCATAAGGACCTTAAATTATACAACACAAAAGCAAAATAGTACTTCTTTTTAATGCATTAAATACACAAACCTGCAAAGCATGAATGTCATATATGACTAAACTAGTTGGTCCACCTCTTGAAATTGGAATATTTGACAACATCCTTGCAAGGGTGAAGGCAGTTGCTACATCTCCTTCTTCTTCCATTCGCTCAAAGGACCCAGTTGGAAAGAAAGGCAAAACCAATGTGAAGGAAGCAACAAATAGACGAGGGAGTGCATATATTACAGAAAGTTGTTCAAAGACTTGTGCCGGGGAGCTGAAAGATGCCAAAAAAGCAACATGCTGACCTCGGAGCTCTTCTGCATTATTTATATATATATTTGGAAACCCATCAGCAAAAGACCTGGATAAGCATAAAATCAATCAGTTTTACAAATTTTTTCCAATTAAAAGAAAAGAAAACTACTTTCACCATGCAGTTTGTTTGTAATACTGTTGCATGGGTGTAATGTGGTTTGAGGAGGGAGTCAAGATCCCCAGACGTCTAAGGATATGATGCAAACAAAACAAGTCATGACACAACTGAAGTAATTGGTCTAACTAATATCATCACAAAATAAGTTTTCTAAGCAAATTAACTAATGAAAAACTATCAAAACATAAGAATACAACCACATGAAGACACTATAATTTCGTCCGAGCAAATCCTAAAGATAATATAACCTAATCTCCTCATTGGCACACATCCGATCATCATCATCAATGTTTTCATCAGCTCCATCACTGATTCTATAGCCCTCAACTCCTATGTTTCGTATGAATCGGCATTGTCATATTCAATATCCACTTCTTTGGAGTTTCAATCTTTTGAATTTGACTTTTTCCTTGTTGCATAGTACATGTTCTGATCTCTCCAGTCCCAAATACTTAAGAAAAATCCTCCCTTTTCAAAGAGTCATCACTAAAGACTAAATCTTAGCATCATTTAAAAAACCCATCACTGAAATGAATCATTCCCTACTTTAAGATATCATCAAGAGATATAGCATAGATTTGTCAGAGAAATATAATATAAAATCATGAGTAAAGTTCCTTTTGGGTCCCTAACAAAAAACATGGTTCTCACTTTAGTCCCTTACAAAAAAAAATTAGTCGCCTGGTCTCTATGAAATTCAAAGTGGACTCATTTTAGTCCTTTTGAGGACTAATGTGGGTCTTTTTTGAATGTGTGAGGGACCACGATTTCAACTAAATGGGTCAATTTTAAATTTCTTAGGGACCTCGGGACTAATTTTTTTTTTATATGGGACTAAAGTAGGGACCGTATTTTTTGTTAGGGACGCAAAAGGGGCTTTACTCTAAAATCATTAATGTGGCCTTCACCTAACAACTTAAGTTTTTGGGTTGAATTGATCCTTGCATCGTATAAAAGCCTCTGTGGCCAAGCAGTCATGAGTTCGATCCTCACCGCCCCCTATTCTATTTATAAACAATTAAATATTGTGGAGTTTCTTAGCATAGGTTAGTAGACCTGTGCATTGTCCACCCTTTAAGCCCAATGAGCTCTTGTGTAAGAGGATGTGTTAATATAAAATCATTAATGTGACTTTTACCAAACAATTTAAGTTTTTTAGTTGAATTGGCGCTTTACAAGATTGTTACCCATCTATCATAAGTTATAACAAGTTTAAAGGGCTTGGCTTGATGAAAGCTTGATCAAGCAAATTTTTATGCTCAATTCGATTGCACTTCTTGGTTGAAGCTGCAGTATGATGTTAAGAACAGATGAAAATAGCATGTTACTGCTACTAAGCTGAAGTAAGCTATAAAATTTGGACAGCATAAAACCCTATTGTAAGCTTACATGCTCAAAAGCATTCCAATTCCTCTCGACCAGTTGCAATAACATACCCAGCTTAGCAAATAGCAGATAGAAAGCAGAGGATACAAAAACACTTCAGCCCCTTTCCAATTCCTCTCACAATTATCTTAAAACTTGATAAGAGGATACCCTAGTGCCATTCCTTCTCAGCCAAGGTGCCTTCTCAAGAGCATCAAGATGAAGAATCCTCGTTTGGGGCCAATCAAGGCATTTGGTTCTTGCACCACCTTGCCTTGCCTCAATGCCAGCCAATTTGAACTTTTGAAGTATTCCATGCGAAGACCATTTCCAGTTCCATCTTAATCAGGTGCATGTTCATTGATCTCAAATCAAGATGATACATTTTTTTATCTGATCCTAGTAAGAAAAGAGAGGTCAAAATCTTGACCCATTAGAACAAGGTGTAAAGCTTTGAGTTTGATAGTCCTTGATATATCTCTGGGAATAGATATGAACTTTATTTTAGTTTTTCCAAAGCATATATGAGGATTTCACTGTGAAACAAGTTGCATTTATTTTTCCCGACTCTCTTCATCTGATGATCAGATCTTAGACTCATCTCCTCCTCTTTTCTTGTTGCTTTGCAGGAAATTACCATTCACACCTACAAGGCAAGTCCCTGAGGTTGTTGCTTTCTTTTCATTGCAACCCTAAAACAGCACTCATAATCTTTCCCAAGGTTTTACTGAAAAGCAGTAGAATATTATGCCGCTTTCTCTTCATAAATATCTAACCCTAACTTGTTAGTGAAACTAGAAAGTTTTGTATTTGGAACATACATTTAATCATTCCCTGAAATCCAAACACAGTTTTCTCCTAAAATCCACCCTTCAAAGAAATTATTATCCAATGCTAAACCTTAAAATATAAACGACACCATGTGGGACAAAATGAAACTTTTCAAAAGAAAAAATATTTTCAACATGCAGATTGGGTTAGATGAATTATTAGTTATTACAGACAATGATTACACATATTGCCTTAAAGAGGAAGACAACAAAACCAAAAGAAATTTCCTTAGATTTATTGTTCAGCTAGTTAATGCAAAAGACTAGAAATCTAGAATCTATGGTTCAATTAAAATCTTTCAAGTTTTCAAGTTGGTCTTCACAACCAACAATTCTAATCTCCTAACACCCTTGGAAGCGGCTGGCCTGGGCATTTTGATCATTCAATGTTACGAATGGAAGTGGTGCTTGACATCACCCCCGAACATAAAAAATTGTTTGGCAAGTGATGCTTGGAGTTTACTTTACGGAGCCCTCAAATAAATTATAAAAACATGTTTGGTTTTGCTTAATTTTTTACAATAAATCAACTCCTCATCTAAAAGCTCTCTCTGCACAATTTCGACTGCAAGCTTTTCTAAACGCAAAACAATCCAATCCGAACACGAAGTTAAAAGTTAGCATCATAAACAAAGGCATCCAATCCAAGTTGACTCAAGTAAACCACTAGATAGGACCCAATATCTAACATAACAGAAACGCAAACGATAAAAGAAACCCAGAATTGACACATTACAGAGAGACATAAACAAACAAAAAGCAAGTGGGCATGCACGACACAAGGCAAGTTATTGAATTGAACAAAAGGAAAGTTGTTTTGGGTAGAAAGAGAAAGAGGAAGAAGAAGAGAAACCTCCATCTGATATTCTGGAGAGTGATCTCGTGTGAATTAGCAGCAACCTTTTGTGCAAGGTCTTCGCAGTCAAGAGAGTAGAAGAGATTGACTTGCTTCTTCGGAGACTTCACCGTTGCCATTGTTATCTCTCTCTCTCTCTAACTTTTAAAACCAAAGCAAAGGCGTAGAGACAAAGCAGAAAGAGAATTTAGAGGGAACACACACACATACGTAGCAACAAAACAAAACAAAAGGGTTTTTAGTTTGGTTTGGTAAGCCCCATGAGACATGGAACGAACCAGATGAATAGTGGGTCGGGTCTGTTTTGGGAAACAAGGTGGATATTTAACATCTGTGTTGAAATTTTTCTTTTCATTAATTTTTATAAATTTCAATAAGATTTCACTTATTTAATAATGAAAAAAAGTGTGTGTCATATTTAAAAGACGTAAAATTGTGTCAATTCAAAAGAGGAAAAAAGATAGATAAAGAAAGAGAAAGAATTGACAAAAAAAAAAAAGTTGTAGGTTCTACCTCTTTGTAAAAGTAAAATAACATAAATTATGTCGTTTAAAAAGATAAACATTTTTCCCTTGATAAAAATAAAAGTAAATACAAATTTTTTTCCGATAAGTTTATGTGAATTTTTAATAGGGTAATAGTTTTTTCATACAGTAGAAGATAATAAGTAGAGTGAAATTTATTTTGAACTTGTGTGTGTAGGAGATAAATTTATTCTTACGTAACATAAGAATAATAAATCCTTTTTTAATAACGTGAGATACGTACCGCATTTGGTGTTGGCTGCGCAAGCGTGCATCATGCGACATGCAATAAAAAGGTGCAAAAAATGCTGGTTACAACGAGTGCTCTCGTAGTCTAAACCCATTAAAAAAATCCTCCATTTGCTGGATTCAATTCTTATGTCTCTCTTTAATACTTGATTAAATAGTACTTATTAAACAGGGAAAAAAGATATTACAGTCATGTGGTAGATGTAAATTTTTTTTGTTTGATAAACAATATTTTATTGATTAGACTTTGTGAAAGACATAACGATGAAATATAATATTTGAATCGTATGAAAAGAAAAGGTGACCTTGCTCTTTGAATAAATATAGATTTTTTTTTTTAAATTTTAAGATCCACGTAAAACAATAATAATAATTGACACGTTTTAGTTGTTCTACTATTTGACCCGCTCAATTGAGGAGGTAATTCTTAGAAAGATAGATCATCTCATGTCACATGAGATTATATAAAAGGATCTTAGTTGTTCAAATATAAATGAACAATTGTACTTTTTTAATCCTTTATCTTAATGAATTATTTCATTACCATTGATTTGTATTTGTGTCGTTGATATTCTCTCACGTGATCTTATGTCACATGAGAAAATCCATTCTTTTTTCCAAATAAGGTGGAAAGACTTGTGAAGGGTGCTTGAACTTCTTATACCAGAAGAGAGCATAAGATTTTGCCTCTTCTCACATCTGACGCTAATGTTCTTGATTGGATTTATCGGATTGGATGATTCAATGGGGCTTAGAGATGGCAACAAGATCTCATGTCCTTGTATTGAGCATGGTGTAGCATTTGGTTGAGCTTTATTGAACTAGCGGTCCCAAGTAGCTAGTTGGAGTAATTGCTGAGGACAATGTCATATAGTGTACAAGTGGGAGGTTCATTTGGCCAACATGATGCTTGAGATTGTTCCTCTGTTTTCGATGAGGGTAAACCATCACAATTCCGGCAAGCAAGGGGTGGTGTGCTCTTTCTAGGACTTTGTCACTCAAGTCAATGTTTGAGTGAGGTAAAGTTTTCCTGAAGGAAGATGTGTACATGAGGATGAAGCCTTTGAGTTTGTAATGAGGTTGAGAACATTGCCATGGAATATGTGAGTCTTTAGTCTAGGACCTAGGCCATGTAAGACAAATCTTACATTTGTGCAACAACATTAGTGACTTTGTGGAATTTACAGGTGCAAAGCATGATCGCAATAAAGGTTTTGATCCGAATTAGCGGATAAATTCGATTTAGGACACATGGGATATTGAAGCAATATATGGGGAAGGATGATAAATCTCTACCTAGAGATCTTTTTATTCCAATTAAGTGCATAATTGAACCTTTTTTTTGTTTCCAAGAGGTACCCCCACCCATTTAGATGAGACCAATCCCTTTTGTGACTATTTTTTGTTCTATTTTGTTTAAATTTATGATATGAGTACATTGATGCATAACATGCTGAAATTCTCATTTAATGATTTAAGATTTGATGCAAATAAATATGGGTTGATTTGATGTTATTCCTTTATACAGAGCAACCTAAATATCAAGAGAGAAATGGTGTACATTAGACCTATTGAATAGCCCATTAGAATGAGGGGTCGATTAAGTTTGCTCTTTATGTAGGAAAATTCAAGAAATGGGAGAAAAAGAAACAATGTTGCAAAGAACTCAATAAAGCATCCAAAAGCCCAAAAATCAGGTCAGAAGATGCAACAATTGAAGTGAGCAGAAAACAAAATATAGAAAAAGGAATATTCTCCTAACAAACTTCAATACTTCTTCCATCATGCAAAAAGAGAAAGAAAAGCCAAACAAAAGTGCATCAACACTCACTACTAGAAAATGGAGCAATAGTGATGGACTTTTACGGAAAAAAATGCCTTGCAATTTTCAACAACATTTGCAACCGAATACAAATTGCGACTGAATACCGGTGAGAATTTCATTACAAAAATTCCAATCCAAAATCAGTCGCAGTTCCGTCACAATTTGGGAGGCATTCTGCAATCCATTGTAAAAGTGTTATATTTGCGATGAAAAATCGAGATGGAGAATTTTATAATGGCAATTTCTGTCGCAAACCTAGAGATTGAACTTTGCGACGTATATGACATTTTATCTGCTGCAAACAACGTCACCTTTTGTGATGAAAAAAGATGATACAGGAGGCGATAGGCCCCATATTCGGCTCCTCTTAGTCCAATAACGAGCACCTCTTCATCAAGGCTGCAAGAAGATTTGCCAAGAAAGGAAGAGTGTTCGGGATGGGAAGCTCTGCTAGCCGACTGAAGCCTTACAAGCGCTCATCCATCCAGGTTGGAGGTGTTTCTGTAGGTAAACGTAATGCTTTTGAGCTTAATTGTTTTACTTTTTTAGTCCCTAGTCCATTTAAATTAAGTACAAAAAATTAATTTACTTTCTAATGATGTATTTGCATATGAGCTTAAAAGGATGAAAGCGTTGGTTCAGAGCATGAAAGGTGCACATCAGGAGAAGACTTCCCACCAGGAGACGCAATTGAATGTTATGACACAACAATTGAATCAGCAAGCGTATAATTTTTTACAACAAGAAGAAGGGACTGGCTCCTAGTGATGATGATGATGACTAGGCTTCTACTTTACAAACATCATTTATGATTATAGTTCTTTTTAGTTCATTTTGTTGGTAACATTTTGTTTTTATTTCTTTTTTTACATATAATTTTTTAATTTTTTAGAATTGCTATTGCATACATTTGTTTATATACATTTTTTAATTGGGATATTCAGTATTGTTTATTTAATAATTTTTTTTTCACTTGAGTGGTTGTTGTTTATAGGAATAAGTTAAATAATTATCAATATTTTTTTTCTTCTACGTCCAATTGTGATGGACTTTTTCAACTTTATGTTGCAAATAATTAAACCAGCAGTGTGACGAAATATGTTAATTCTGTTGCAAGTTTACGACAGACTTAGGGATGGCAAGATGGATTGAGCCCGGCAGGTCAACCCGCCAACCCGCCAAAACGGGGCGGGTTGGGTTGAGATTTTCAACCCACCAACCCACCTCAATCCGCCCCGCCTAGAAGTGGGTCAAAACAGGTTCAACCCGTCGCGGGGCGGGTTGACCCGCCGGGTTATAATTTATTTATTTATTTTTTTTTATTTTTTTTTACAATTAGGTAGTATTTCATTAGTCTTTAAATTTTTGTGATATCCAAATTTTTTTTTATCTTAGTACTTCCTAGGAAAAATAAAGAATAACAATTTTATTTATGACAAATGTTATCTATATATAAATTCTTAAAGAATGTTTGACAAATATTAGTATACATTTAAGATTGAGACTAAAAAAATATAGAGAAGTGTGAAATAAAATAAAATAATATTAGAAAAATTCATAAAATATAATTTATTTTTAATTGACGGGTTGGTGGGTTGACCCGCCAACCTACCATAAAACGAGGTGGGTTCATTTTTCCAACCCATATTTTTTGGCGGGTTGGTGGCGGGGCGGGGCGAGTCAACCCAAATTGCCACCCCTAGACAGATTTACGTTACTTATTCCATCATGTAACACCCTGTTACCAGATCGGTGTGTTAACATTGATTATGATATTAAGTGCAGTTACAATCACATCAGTCAGTTTAAAAAAATACGGGAAAACTTTTTCCTTTTATAATGTACATGATTTAAAACAATTGTATTATGCAATTATATAAAGCTATGATCGCAACTGAAAAGTAAATGTGGAAATAGCATTTCAATTGCCTAACTATCATACAACACCTATATAAAGTTGCTAAGAGGTTCCCATAAACCAATAAAACATAAAATCTATTTTTCCAAGTTTTGATAAATGATATTGAGCTGTTATATGCGAGTGCCTTTATGATATGCATGTGGTGTTCCACCCATACGGTAAGCTTGAGTATGTAGGGACATACAAGATGGTGAGGTTGTGGGTGAGGTGCAAGCGGTGTTCCTTGTACTTATTGTGGGGTTGTAGACGTACGTCCTGCATTTTTCTGGCCAGTAGAATAGTGATAACATACATGGCATGAATATCTGTTGCACTGCATAGTTTTGGAACTTATACTGTTAAATGTTTTTGAACTTATATTGCTCGTGTAAGTGAGTTTGGGGTGGAAGATCCTTGAGGACCCCTTGTCTTACTGAGATTTCTTTTTAGAGATCTCACCCCACGTTTGGGGCACATATTTCAGGTTCAGGTAATGCGGGGGTTGAGACCTCTGGCAGCAGGAGGCCGGAGCTTAGCTGATTATATATGATGTATGCTGACATGACTGGATATTGGATGCTGTTTATGTTTTCTGTCTTTATATTGATATTTGAGTTGAGACTCTTTTGTGGGCTTTGTTGCCTTATTTGGTGAGCATGGGGTTTGTCCATGCCACATTGATGTTAATACTTGT